GGCCCCGCAGGAAGAGCGGGCCTGTGCTCATGAGTAGCTGGGGACACCAGCAGGGGCCTAAATCCATCTGCTGTGCACCTGTACGGACTTGCCAATGGTTAAAATATTGCAGCAGGGCTGAACTGGTTGTTAAATATTTTGAGCAGATACCCCAGACATCAGATGACACAGAGATCTGAAAATGAGGCACAGGGGGCTGAACTGAAGATGGCGGGGAAGCCGAAGTGGATCAGGACACCTCAAGGGGACTTAAACAGAGGAAGGTGAAGAAAAGGAGGTTTCATGAGGACCTTCTGGGCAGTGTGGGTCTTCCGCCTGCCTCACCAGGAAGGGCAGGGGGATGGAGTTTCGTAAGCCTGAGCCCGGCCGGGGTGACAAGTTGTAGTTTGCTCCCTGGCAGTTCATGAGAAGTGGCTAGTTGGTCACTTTTGGACAGACGAGCTCTGTTTATTTAGACAGACAGAGCCCGGTCTCACCTGGCTTTGGGGACCCAGACTGAAATGACCAAGGCATTGAGGGTTTTCTGACTAATACTCTCGGATTCTTATCAACCCATTAGCTTCTTAGAAAGTGCTCTTAAGCCTCATGTCCCCTGACACGAATTACCTCCTCTGGGGCGTGGACAGGGTTAGATCAGGGCATCTGAGCAGGAGCAATCGGGACAGAGGTCACCTGCCCAGAGTGAGGAACAGTCATGAGGGGACGTGGGAGGGAGGCGTGCAGGGCTTCCTACAAGCAGTCGGGCTGGGACGAGCAGGGCAGGGACAGGTCCAGGTCCACAGCCAGAGCCAGCTGCACGGTGACCCAGGAATCCTTACAAAAGGAGCCAGGCCCGAGCTCCATGGGAGCAGCCAACAGGAACCAGGTACCAGGGTGGGTGCAGCCCGGGCCGAGTTACCCTGGGGACTGTAACTGGAAACCCTTGATGGTTCACCAGTCCCTAGAAGAGCAATTTCCTAACAACATCCAGCAGCAAACAAGCAAACCAGGAATGCAAGTGGGCTTGGGAACCGGGTGCGTTAAGGAGCTGAGATAGACGATAGCCGTGGGAACACCAGCAGAAACCCGTGTGAAGGCAGGCCGTGCCTCTGAGCAAACTAACGCTCAGAGCAGAGCAATCAGGCTGGGCACTTAGGAGAGCGACTTCCCTCAGTTTGGGACCGTTCCACCTGAAGGTCACTGCTTCGTGGTGACCAGATTCCCAGCGACAACCTGAGTGGAAAACCTCTTTCCCACAAAAGGCAGCTCTGGAATGTTTACAACAAAATAATCAGTTTTCGATGCTGTGCAAATGTCCCCTAGTAACAGCAGCATGAAGGGCCTTTTGTGGCGGGTGAGCCTGAGCCCAGTTATTCCAGTGTCACATAAACACCAGAGAAGGCGCTATTAAATAATCGGGCGGCTGTCCTCCATTGGACCCCAGCGTGATCCTTGCTCCCATCCTGGCTCCAAGATACCATTTTCACTTATTTGTTGGGAAGCTCGGGGCGATCTAGTCCATTTTTAAAACAGTCGTTATGAGTATCGTGAATAATGAATGGACTAACATACAAAAGCCCTGCAGAATGGCCGAGCGTACAGCCAAAGAAAATTGTTCTTAAGTATTTAAGTCTGAATGAAATGGCACCAAAACTTCACATTCTTCCCTAAAACTACCCCCTCTCAATGTGAGCTGTTTGCTCTATCAAGCTAACAAACTCACCTTAATTACTTCCTGCAGCTCCTCATCTCCAGGGTGTCATCTCCTTGGCTATTTCCCAGGTTAGAAAAGAGCAAAATTTTTTTTTCAATGAAAATATGACTTTCAACACTGCCTTTGGATTCACCCCAGCTTTGCCACTTACTAAGTGACATCGGGCAAGTTTCCTGACTTCTCCAAGCCTCCATTTCCTCACGTGTAAACTAGGGTTGATTTCCACTTGTCAGATTTGTCATAAAAACTGAAAGTGGCAAAGTTTGTGAGACTTAGTGTGGAGCCAACAACACAGAAGCCGACAGGCAGCAGGTCTCCGTAAATGGGAGCCATCACTGCTCACGCACCTAGCTCTGCAGAGAGAAAGGACCAGGCACAGACCCCCACCCCAGGTAGCACGTGCAGACCAATGTGTGTGTCTTAAACACATGCTGCAGAGGATCAAGGATCCACTGGGAAGGTCAAGCTCAAGCTGTGTGGGGGGAGGGGGAGCGGAGTGTGCAGAGGTTGAGGTGGGGAACCTAAACAGGATGCATTCAAGGACATCAGACGCACACTCCCAAATCTCTCCTCTTCCTGCCCTTGATTCCAGAAATTGAGACTTTCCTTTAGGTTTAGGCTCAGTGCTCTTAATTAAAAAAATTTTTTTTAAATTAAGGTATAATCAGTTTACAATGTGTCAATTTCTGGTGTACAGCACAATGTTTCAGTCATACATGAATATATATATATATATTCACTTTCATATTCTTTTCACCATAAGCTACTACAAGATACTGAATGTATTTTCCTGTGCTATACAGTATACACTTGTTTATCTGTTTTACATATACCAGTCAGAATCTGCAAATCTCAAACTCCCTGTTTATCCCTTCCCACCCCTCTCCCCACTGGCAACCACAAGTCTGTATTCTATGTCTGAATCTGTTTCTGTTTTATATGTAAGTTCATTTGTCTTTTTTTTTTAGATCCCACATATGAGTGATATCATGTGGTATTTTTCTTTCTCTTTCTGGCTTACTTTACTAAGAATGACATTCTCCAAGGCCACCCATGTTGCTGCAAATGGCATTATTTTATCATTTTTATGGCTGAGTAGTATTCCATTGTATAAATATACCACAACTTCTTTATCCAGTCATCTGTCAATGGACATTTAGGTTGTTTCCATGTCTTGGCTATTGTAAATAGTGCTGCTATGAACACTGAGGTACAGGTGTCCTTTTAAATTAAGGTTCCCTCTGGATATATTAGGCTCGGTACTCTTAAACAAAGAACTTCCTGTAAAAGCTAACACTTGAAGCTGCAGTCAGTGTTTCCTAGTCTGGTTAAGCTTCAGATTGTTTTGAGAGATTCTGATGGTGACACAGGAAGGCTGTGGACACCTAAGCGACAGGTGGAGGCCCAAGCAGGGAGAGAAAGTGGAAAGAACCAGGACTCTGAGGGCACAGACAAGGAGTGACTCACCTGTGTGTGCATGCCTTACAGAAGCAGCATGGAGTTGAGACCGCTGCACAGGTGTCTGTAACTTACTCTGCACACATCAAATGCCTGACGGTTAGGCCACGTCTCCGGCACTTACACATTTGAACTTTTCTTCTGGGAGGCAGAGAAAATGTGACAATCTCTTCCTCCAATGCTGATCACACTATGGGGCTAAATTCAGGCCTCACCTAATTCGGGGCTGCCTCTGACCCCCAACCCTTATACATGGAACTTTCCAAAGTTATCCATAACCAGCCGTAAGCTACGTGTTTGTGGGGAGGCCCACCACATGCCAGGGCCTAGGCCTCACACACACTCACCCTCATTATGCTGACCCACAACAAGGCAGGTGCCGCGGTCTCCATTTCACAAACGAGGAAACCAACACAGAGAGAAGCCAAGTGACTTGCCCACGGCCAAACCACAGAAAGCAGCAGAACCAGAATTCAAAGCAGACAGTCTAACCCAGCACCACCACAACCACCACCACTGACACCATGCAAAATGGCCATCTCGGCATCGGAGAGCTCCTTCCCGGGCTTAGACCTGTGTGAGGGTTTCCAAAAGAACCTTTTTTTTTTTTTTTGCATGAAATGTCTCAATCTTTAACAAATACTCCAATACTAATATTCCAGTGGTCCATTCACTTTAAATTCATAACAGCTGCTTCCTTAGGGAAGGAGAGGAGTGTAGAGGTAGCAGGATGGGAGGGGAAGAGGAATGGTTAAATGAACTAATAACCTGAGCCTGGAAAGAAAAAGGATAAGGCGTGATCTAATTCTCGGTAGGAACTAGATTAAACTGGAGGCTGACTGACCCTGATTACGCTATGTCCTGAAAGTCAGAACAGAATCTTTACAGGGTGTTTGAAAGTTTTTTCCTCCCTACAGAATGCTTAAGGACAACGACAGGTACAAACGCTACTTACTGCCTATATTGAACTCATCATCCTTAAGGTCCACATTTTCTTAGAACCTGAGTGCTCTTTAAAAATATTTTTTTGCGGTTTCTTAATATTAAAAACAACAATAATACTGCAAAAAATAGTACCAATTGACCGAGCACCCATGTTCAGCAAACATCACGATAGGTCCTTTACATTGTTCCCCGAGTGAAACCTAACTCACCGAGGTAAGCATTTTCATCTCCATTTTGTAGATGGTTCTGGAGCTCAGAGGGGTTAGGAAATATGACCCAAGTAACACAGCCAGTAAGTGGCAGAGCTTTGAATCCAGGTCTGTGGACCTCTGGGTCTGGATTAGGCAATAAACACAGAGAGGAGGGGCTTTACAGCCAGAGATGGTCACTAACTATGCCGAGGAATTATCATTTTAAACTTAGATAATAGACTGTTTGGCAATTTAATCAGGGAAACTTGTAGAAAAGTTGTTACCTAAATCCAGAGTATATTTCCGAAGAGGAATACTAAAATCCCAATTACTGTTACCTATGACACACCACAAGGCCACGTGGCTATTTTCTGAGGTTTTAAAAGAAAAAACAAACAAAAAAACCAATTCTACTCTCTCCCTACTGAACCAAGTGCTCCCTGGCCTCTGAACGCCTCTGGATGGAGATCAGAAAGAGGCTCAGACAAAAAGGCCTCCAGGAAATGGCTCCTGTCGTGGTCACACCAGGGAGGCTGTCCTTTGAAGTCTCTCCCAGCAGTTTTGCTTAGATAAGATGTTTTTCTAACTGAGACAATGAATCATTCCTCAAAGACCTGCTATTAGAAGAGAGAGAAGCAAACTATCACATACCTCCACACGTCAGGATTTTGTTTGTGTTTTAGTGTTAGTTTGTTCTCAACTCTGCTTCTTACCTGGATCCACATCAGAAGAGCAAGGCATAGAAAGGGCTTCCGCAGAACCAAGAGCCTCACTGTTGGCCTCCTGGCTGGGTCTCTGCAACACGTAATCCCTTATGTCATAAACTGATGGCAAGTCCAAAGCACTGCTCTCCTCCGACTGGCCGTCTGGAGTGGCTTCCTGGGCTGCCATGGTCCTGCCATGGAAAAAAATAAAACAGTTCAGTACAGAAGGCATGGCGAACAGGAGCAGCCATTATAGTCACGGCTTAAAGTACCTTAAAAGCCAAACAACAGAACAGTAGAACCAGACTAATTTGCTTTCCTGTTATTAATGGCCTTCCTTGTCTTTACTTTAGATCCAGGGTGCATTTACCATGTTTATTCATCATGAGATACTCAGCACAGAAAGAAACCATGAATAATTCCAGTCGGAAAATAAACTGCATGTCTGATAAGGATGAAATACTGCCCAGCACTAAACTTCAAGGACTACACAGGTACTTAATGAACAGGGAAACTGTCCGATGATGTATTAAATGGAAAAAGACTTTTAAACTGTAGGTGGTGGATGATTTTATTTAAAAAGCCAGATTTTACAAATAAACAAATAAACAAACAAACAAACAAACAAACAAAAACAAATAAAATACCACATGGATTCTGTGTGTATGAAACACACAAACCTATAGCTAGGGAAGAAACCAAGTCTGGAAGGGTGTATTCCAAATTAATTTCAGTGGTAATTAATTCAGTGGTTTCATCGCTGGGTAGTGAGATTACAGGTGATTTGCATTTTCTTCCACGGCCTTCAGACAACTGTTACCATGCCAGGCCCTGGGGATGCAAAGGTGAATGTGACGGAGGCTTCCTTCACGTTGCTCAGGTTGGGATGATCCCATCACAGAGACAGTGTTAACACAATGACAAGGTGGAGAGGAGCCCAGAAGGAGGCAGTAGGCTTCCTGGTGGCAGTTGTCCCCAGGCATGGGGCTTGGCCAGGCCATGGCCGGGGGACAGCATGAACCCCAGAAGAACCAGTTTGGGCAACACAAGCAGCATGGGGTGCCGAGAGTCCAAAGTGAGAGTCAGGGACAATGACACATCGGGTAACTGGGGAGGGACAAACCCTGTGGTCTAGAGTGGACAGCATGGGGCCTCTGTTCTTCCTGTGCCGGCTCTGGGAAGGACAGTAAGGCCTGGATGCTGTCAGCAACTTGGATACACAAAGTCTCTAGCTGAGCTCTGGAGACTTCAAAGGTGGCTTATTGTGTTCAGCATTCAGACATTTCCTGTTAAAAATTGGGTGTTCCTTACCCTTTCTGGGTTGATGTCTACCTGTGGGCACTGGGTTCTCTACCAGAGGGCTCTCTGCAGTGCATCCAGCCCTGCCCAACTCTCTATAAGTTAACTGTAGGCCTGAGGAGATTCCAGACCCTCTGCTCCCCTCTGCCTCTTAAGTTGTTATCGGTAAGTCTTATAGTCAACACACATCCCCAGCCACCATACACCCTGCAGAGGAGTTGCATGGTCAGATCTGCAGATCTGGCAGCTGGACAGCAGGGGGATTTGCAAGGGCCTAAGCCCGGTGGCAGCACTGTCAGAAGCAACAGGAATTCATTCACCTGCAGTGGTCCCAGTGTGAGTGGAAGGACATGTGAACCAGGGCAGGGCGCCACCAGTCAGGAGCAGGGGCAGACTGGGGACATACTTAGGAATGAGAATGAGAGCCGAACTTAGTAACTAACTGGATAAAGGGGCTAAAGAGGAACTGAGAGTCAACAAAGAATGGCAGCTCTGGCGATTGGGTTGCAATATCAACTGAGTCAGAGAACTGAATAGGCTTGGGAGGAGCAGGTATTCCAAATTATGGAATACTATCCAGCTGTTAAAACAACAGAACTTGAAAGATGCATGTTTGAATGACAGAAGCAATTTCAGAATAAGACGAACAGTGTAATAATGTGAGTAGTTAACATTTACTGAGTGCTTGTTGGATGCCAGGCATTGTGCTAATAACAGCTTCACCTGCAACAGCCCTGGAAGCAGGTGATCCTGTTACCACCCTCACTCACAGTCCCACAGTCAGCCTGAAACACAGAGTGAGTAGCTCACCCAAGGAAACCCACCTAGAAGGAGCCAATCTAGGATGAACCCAGCTCCAAGCCCTCCCAGCCTTCCCGGCCTGCACAGCCTCCATTCTGCAGCCCGAGCCACCGCCTGATCAGGCAAAGACAGGGGGTGTACAAAAACAAATCAACAGAGAGACCTGGCAAGACCCTCCTTGTCTGGAGGCACCAGTCACATGCTGTTGTGGCCATTCGCTCAGGCAGAGAGCGAGCCAGGACACCAGCTGATTGCTTCTGACAGGAGTGAAGTGATCAAGGTTTCCCAAAGAAGCAAGAACATCCTGTCTCTTCACACATGCTATATCAGCCAACCAAGCCTGAAGTTTCCGCAAACTCTTCTGCTGCAGGCATCTGTGGCTCCTCCTCCTGCCCACCTGTTACCAAACACTGCCCTGGAGGCTTCTGGAAGGTCAATGAATGACATCTGCATACCCTGCCTGCCTGCAAAGATGCCTCAAAATCAAGCATTAATAGAAGGTACGGCGGGACAGGGAGGGTATAGCTCAGTGGTAGAGCGTGTGCTTAGCATGCACGCGGTCCTGGGTTCAATCCCCCATATCTCCATCAAAATAAATAAATAAATAAACCTAATCACCTCCCCCCCAAAACAAAAGCAAACAAAAATAAAATAAAATATTTATTAAAAAAAAACCAGAAGGTATCATTAGTGATATGAAATGAAAGGAATCCTTTTTGAAAATAAAGAGCACCTTGATGTGATATCTGTCTTTTCTTTTAGAATCACTTATATTAAATGTCAAATATATTCCAAACTGGGCACGTGAGCAAAAAAAAAAGCCTACCAAAAGGCAGAATCCTGTTTATGACAAAGTAAGTACCTGTGCATGTAAAAAATTATTTGAGACGCAATGAATTTACACAGGAGAAAGCAGGCAATAGGGACAGACGAGACCCTTTTTACGGTCTGAAGCCACATAGGCTGGCAAGGAGAATGCAGTGATTATCCTCTGCCCTAAAACTTCTGTTATGTGGTTCAACTTCCTTCTCCAGAAGTGCTTATTTTCCTCTCTTAAAAGTGCCTTAATTACAAATCTAAATATTCTTTCCCAGTCCTGGGGATTATAGGATGCCCCAGGACTGCAGGGACAGTACATAAAGACCTGCTTACCAAGAGAATTCCCATTACCGTTTTCCCAGTACTCTACATATTTGCACAAACCTACCAATACAACTCAGTCAGGGTCCATGTAAAAGAAGTAGTTTAACTTCATTTACTTTTTTTTCAATTAAGCCTCTTTCAGTACTTTAAATGAAAAATTTCAAACAACAGAAAAGTTGGAAGAATTATATAACGAACATCCAAATAGCTACTTCCTAGATTTCTTTATTCTTATTCAATTTATTTAAACAAACAACCTGTTTCTTCTACCCCCAACTTCTGTCAACCACTAATCTTTCTCTTTATCTGTAACAATATATACACACATATATACATTACATATATATAACTTTTTTCAGATTCCACATATAAGAAAAATCATAAAGTATTTGTCTTTCTCTGACTTATTTCATGTAGCATAATGCCCTCCGGGTCCATTCATGTTGTTGCAACAGCAAGATTTCATTCTTTTTTATGGCTTTGTATGCTGCAGGCATAAAGGCTCTCCACCAGATTCTCTCATAACCCCTGCTTCTTCGCACGGCATTGTCTTTCCTTCTCTTGGATAACTCTTCTGAAAAATGGAAGCAGAAGGAACACTTCCAAATTTACTCTACAGTCCAGTATTATCCTGACAGCAAAACTAGACAGAGATATCACAAGAAAACTACAGACCAGTATGATAAACATAGACACAAAAATCCTTGACAAAATCCTAGTAAAATGAACCCAGCAACATCTAAGAAGGATTATACTCCATAACCAAGCAGAACTTATTCCGGAAATGCAAAGTTGCTTTAACATGTGAAAATCAGTCAATGTAATATACTATATTAGTAGAATAAGGGACAAAACCCACAACAGATAAACACACACACGCGTGCGCACACACACACACACACACACAAAATCACTTGACAAAGTCAAATATCCATTCATGATCAAAACACTCGACAAACTAGGTACAGAAGGGAACTTCTTTAATCTGATAAAGGGCATTTTTGAAAAACCCATAGCTACCATCACTTCAAGGTGAAAGACCGAATACTTTCCCCTTAGATCAGGAACAGTTCAATATTTTCTGCTCTCATCACTTCTATTCAACATTGTACAGGAGATGTTAGCTGCACAATTAGGTGAGAAAATGAAATAAAAGCCTTCCAGATTGGAAAGAGAGAAGCAAAACTATTTTCTATTAGCAGAAGACATGATCTTGTGTATAGAAAGTCACAACGAATCCACTTAAAAAAATGGCTAGACTAATTAAACAAGTTAAACAAGACTGCAGGATACAAGATCAATATAGAAAAATCATTTGTATTTATAAACACTAGCAATGAACAATCTGAAAATGAAACTAAGAATATAATTTCATTTACAATAGCGTCAAAAAGAATAAAATACTTAGGTATACTTTTTTTTTAATTTGTAAGGCATGTACACTGAAAACTTTTAAAAATGTTGAAAGAAACTGAAGATGTAAATGAGTGCAAAGACATCCTATGTTCACAGAATGGAATACTATTTTAAAACGGCAATATTGCTCAAATTGATGTATAAATCAATGCAATTCTTAGTGAAATCTCACGTGGATTTTTTTTTTCTTTTTCGCAGACACTGACAAAAATTCGTATGGAAATGTAAGGGACCCATAATACCAAAACAATCCTGAAAACTAGGAACAGAGTTGGAGCACTGATAGTTTCCGATTTAAAAATCAGCTACAAGCTGCAGTAATTATGATTATGTAACTGGAAAAAGGACAGACATGTATATCAATGGAATAAAACTGACTGTCCAGAAGTAAAATGTTATATTTACGCTCAATAGATTTCCCACAGGATGCCAAGACAATTCTGCAGGGCCAGAACAGTCTTTTCAACCCTGGGACAGCTGAATATCCACATACAAAAAGGTAAAAAGGCTCAAGTACTTTGGAAAACAGTTCAGCAGTTCCCCAAACGGTTAGTCACACTTGGGTCGGGAAATTCCATTCCTAGGTGTTTGTCTGCTCAAGAGAAATAAAGACTTATGCCCACACAGATTTTACACGAACGTTCACAGCAGCTTTATTCATAATAGCCAAAAAGTGGAAACAAGCCAAATGTCCATCAGCTGATGACTGGATGAATAAAACGTGGTATATGAATACAAGGAATAGTTTCCAGCAGTAAAGGAATTAAGTTCTGATACAAGCAACAACAAGAACTTTTAAAGCACCATATTTAGTGAAAGGAGCTAGTCAAGAAAGACCATGCATTTTATTTCCACTTAAATCAAATATGCAAACTGACAAATCTCTAGAGACAAAAAGTAGACCAGTAATTACCTAGGACTGAGAGCTCTAGTGAATGGAGAGGGACTGCTAATGGGTACAGGGCTTTTCTTTTGGGTCATGAAAACAGTCTAAAATTAACCTGTGGTGATGGATGCACAATTCTGGGGATATATGAAAAACACTGAATTTTACACTTTAAATAGGCAAATTTTATAATGTGTGAATCATATCTCAAGAAAATTGTTTTTTTTGTTGTTGTTGTTGTTTGTTTTTAAAAAAGGGACCGAACCGCATGTAGCTCCACACGCAGCCCGCACATTCTGGGTCTTGCCCAGAGCACTGGCTGCCGGGACCTCGTGGAGTCCGGGGAGGAGAAATTTGGGCGTGTGCCAGGGAAAGCAGCCATAACTTCCCCATTATGGAGAACTGTCTCATGCCTTGTGGAGACCCCCTCCCTCACCCCCAATCCAAGTCACTCCTGAGTCCACAGAGAAAACTGACCCAGAAAAGGCGCCAGATCTCGATTACACTCACCACCCCGCCACAGCAGCAGCCTCGAACCGGAAGCGGTGGCGCCATATTTGTTATGGGAAAAGCGAAGTTTGAACGGAAGTCGTCGGAACCATCTTTGCTGAGGGCAGTGAAGGGCAAGGGAAGGCAGCTGTGGTCGTGGTGACTGAGGGCAATGAGCCAGCCAATTATACTTTCCCTGCATGGCTAGTTTGAGCAATTTCTAGAGGTTTATTGATAAATGTGCTTGGTGGACACAAAAGGGAACAGGAAAAATATTTTAAAATTTTTGAAACTTAAATGTCTACATTAAAAAAACATAAAAAGTAGAGAGAAAGTAACAAAGAGAATGCTAATATTTAAGTATGTTGCATGTAGTTAGCTGTATACAACTTCCAGAATTGCAGGGCCACTGAGAAGAGAATGAGGGTTATTGTTCCACTTGACCATTTTATGAAGTGTCCTCTACACTCACTGCCTCCTATAGGTGCCTACATTGAGATAGAACCCCATAAATTAGGAGCCCTACACTTAGGATGAATATTTTAAATAACACTAACTGAGCTTTGGCCAACTACATACCAGATACTTTAAGCTTAAAACATCCTAGATGACTTACTGACATTTCAAAGGCAAATTAAAAGATACAACTAGAAGTAAAACTGACTTTCCTTCACATTCAGACAAACCTAACATAGCAACAGTAAATTTCATTTTCCTTCCAAATTTGTGCTTTGAAATCAGTGTATAATTTTGATTTTCACTTTTTTTCCATGTAATATATCTCATAAAAGCATTCTTTCTAAGTAACATGATAGATTGTAACTAGAAAAAGCCTGGAATGACATTGTTACTGTCCTATTTGTTTTAGAAAATGACAAAATTCAAATACAATTGAATAACATTAATTATCCGGATTACTATGCAACCATTAAAAATGATTTTTAAAATAGCAAAAGGAAATCTGAGGTGGGGAGGGTATAGCTTAGTGGTAGAGCACATGCTTAGCCTGCATGAGGTCCTGGGTTCAATCCAGTACCTCTATTAACATAAATAAATAAACCTAATTATCCCTCACCTAAATAAATAAATAAATACATCAAAAAAAAAAAAAATCCTAGACCATGCATTGCAATCTCAGTTTTCATGTCTCTTTAGTCTCCTTTAACCTCTGTTTCTCAGTCTTTCTTTGTATTTCTTGGCATTGACATTTTTGAAGAATACAGGTCAGTTATGCTGCAGAATGTCCCTCAGTTTAAGTTCGATGCTGTCACCTGGTTCTCAATGGCATTGAACATTGCTGATCACTCCCTCTGTCTGCAAAGCCCTTTTCCCTGTGTTTCTCTGATACCACCTTCTTCCAATTTTTCCCTTTCCTCTCTCAAAAGTCCATCTAAATCTCCCTTACAAGCTGTTCTTTCTCTTCAATGTGGACCTCTCTCAGGGTTTTTGACTTTTGTCCTATTTCCTTCTGTGCAGATGATTCCCAAACTTCTAAGCCTAGTTCCCTCCTAAGATTCAAATTAACATATCCTCTAGCACCTTTAACTCAACCTCCCTGTACCTTCTAACTGATGTGCTTCTGTTACCCAAACACTGGGTTTGCCTTTTGGTGGGTGTTGAGCCAAAAGACACAACCAAGCTAAAGACTGGGAGAAGGAAAGATTTATTACTTGCAGCAAGTAAGGAGAACACCAAGATTTTTCCCAAAGCAAAACTGGAAAATATTTAAGCTAAGGGTACATGCATATTCATGAAGGGGCTTGAGCAGAGGCTAATTCAACATAGAATTGGGGCAAAAGTCAACAGGGTCCAGGCTTTAGATGATTGAAGTCATAAGGATCAGTAAAGGTGGACATCCCTTAGGTTGCAATTGATCTGGTGGTTGAACCCTCCAGGGGAGCTTAAATTCTGCAAAACAGCTCAAGAAAGGGCTTGAGGCTAATCTTTACCACTGAAACAGTACTGGGAGTCTTTACAACAGATTCATTATCTTTACTGTTGTAACTTCTCTTACCTGATGACAGTCATTTGTTCCTGCATTTTTTTGTTCCCTTAAGATCATTAATTGTTGAGACCTGTTAAAAGGTAAGCATTTTGGCCAGGCTTAGATCACAAAATGGCTTAGCCCCGAAATGACTTCTTTTATGTCAAGAAAGCCATGCCTGGTTCTTTCTCTGGGGACCCCCCCCCCCACCGCCATGTATCCCCTTACACTCCTACCCCAGAATCTCCTGTCTCAGTGAGTTGGATGATTTCATTGCCAAAGACAAACTTTTTTCTCCTCCTTCGTTAGCATGTTATCCATAGTAATCAAAGCCTCTCTTGCAGATTCTTCGGTTACCAAACTCAGGTTCACCTGCTCGCCCCTTGAAAAGCCAATACTCGAGAGACAATCACTGATTGGAAAGGAAGGGTTGCTTTATTCAGGAGGCCAGTCACCTGGGGAGAAGATGAGCTCAGGTCTAAAAACCAAATCTGAAGATTCTGCTAGACTATTTTACAGATAGAAAGGGTAAGTTAGGCACAGTTAATCATCTGGGTAGGGGGACAGAGTTAATTATCTTCTACTGGTGCTAAGTCTGACGTTACCATCCTCCACTTGGGTGGAGGCGTTAGTTCCTGCAGAAGAACTCAAAGATATTACATGTATTCCTTGAGGAGGAACCAGGACCTGTTTTATCCCTGCACTGTTGTTTGTTCATTGCTCCTCCTTTGTTTTTGCATTCCCTCCCTTCCCTGATTAGCAGCTGTTTGAATCTGCCCTTTGGAACTCAGGGAACGTCTAGGAGGCTGGACCTCTTTCCTAAAAACAAGAAACAAGGATATGGAGAGCATTTGTACCTGGGAGGGCCCCCTATGGCCCTGTTTGGTTTCACTTTCTCTTAAAGATCTATTGACTTATCTTTTCATTCTCTCTGTCCTCACTGCAGCTTTCTGGGTACAGTTCCCCATTATCCACCACATGGATGACAACAGTTTCCTGACTCCACTGCAGCCAGAGTTTTCTTTTTAAAATGAGGTGTAGTCACCACTCTTGCCCTCAGCCTAAAACTCAGATTTCTTAACCAGGCTTAGAGGACCTCCACTTTTTATCTCCCTTTACTATCCCTCAACCCTCTGAGACAGGAGGGAAGGGGGCAGGGCATAGCCATTCAAGAAATGACATGGCAGTTAACACCAAAATAGTGGAAGATTCAACTCCCAGTAGGCCTTGAGGCTCAAGATGGCGGGAGACTTGACTTTTAGTAGACTTTGAGCTTCATTCCACGCCCATCGTAATATATTAACATGGTAAATGGCACTCCCATAGGCGCCATGATAGCTTCGAGGCTAACCTTGAAAGAGCAAAAGGGTGGGTTCTGGCCCAATTCCCGGGAATCTCAGCCCCTTCCCCCAAAAGTAATTGGAATAATCCTCCCACTTGTTAGCATATGAAGCTACTGAGCCCATAAAAATTAGCAACACTGCCTTGTGGCCTTTTGCTCCCTTGTATTCCAAGAATTCCAACCCCCACACCTCAGGGCCATTCTCTCATCTTTTGAAACAGCCTATACTCTATGCAGTATGTACTTCTCTAAATAAATCTACCTTTATTCAACTATGGCTCACTCTTGAATTCTATTCTGTGCAAGCCAAGGACCCATGCTTGGCAGGACTCGTCCCAGGGGCTCCACTGAGACCTGGGGCACGGCCCTCCTCTCGCCCCACATTTGCTTTTCCTGTATCACTTTTTCTCACCTCTGAGCTTTTACTTATACAATTTTCTACTTTAGGAGCACTCTTTTCTTGTCTTCTTTTGTCTCTCATGCTTCCAATCTCAGTTTAGGGAATTCTTCCAGACACCTTCTCTGACTTGTCAAGTGTGAATTTGCTGTCCCTCCCAGGAAAGCTGACATTCCTCCATTTACCTTGATCACTCTAAATTCCTTTGCCCTTTTTATTTCTTCCACTAGACTTTAAGTGCCTCAAAGGCAAGTACCACGTCTATTTCATACTTGTAATCCAGAGCCTCACATCTAGTGACTCACATGTCAGTGCTCAAGAAAGTGCTGTTATATGCAAGAATGAATAAACCTCTTCCCAAATTTCCTCCTTTCCCCAATCCCCGACCCCCACCCTACTCAACCATTCCATCTTCCAAGAAGTCTAAAAAATGTGACTTCTTTCACAACCCCTGGAGCCTTTTGCCACTGCCATTCTTTCCCTGAAAAACAAGTTTTTTGGCTTATAAACTAATTCTCATTTCATCTCCTGTGGCCTTTCCATGATAAGCTTTATCTTTCTGATGGGCTTCCTGGAGCAAATTTCTGAAGTCTGGAGTGACTTTCTTTGCCATATAGCTTACCTCTGACCATCCTTTTTTCACCACTTTCACTTGGTCAGTGCACAAGAAATGAAAACGAATTGAACTCATCATCAAAACAAAATAGTCAATAATTGGGATATTTAATCTGCAGAGACAGCAAAATAGTTTGCTGCATTCCAAAATGGCCAAAGGGAATGCTGTTTTGCCATTGATTATATAATGACTGTATAAATTGAGTTATGTCACAGTCTTATGAAACTCTTACATTTCATGGTTGATTTTTCTGCCATCAGCTAAGGCAGCTACTTCAGCCAAATCTCTTTCAGCAGAAAGAAGTCACTTTAGGTGAAAGACTGAAATAGCTCTTTCAAAGTGGAGTAATGTTGTTTGCAATGACTTTATCTCTCTTTGTCACTCTGAACCTTGATCTAGTCGCTCTTCCATCTGGGGATTTAGCATAAGAAAGAAGACAGGAAATCTTATTTCAAAAGTTAGGTAATTGATGAATTTCAAATCATCTTATTGTTTTCCAGTCCTGCAGCATTATAAAGCCAAAATGAAGCAATACATTGATAACCAAGGGAAGACAATCAGATAGACTGTAAATTCTCTTACTAGACTAGAAACGCTATAAAGGTGGAGGTGTGGATTTTATTGGCCAATGAATACCAAGCACTGGACAGTGACTGTCTCGTTCAGTACCCTCTTGTATATCTATAATGGACACAAGCTTGGATATTAAGATCTAAAATCAAT